GACAAAGCTTGCTCTTTTCCTTGAGGCAGGCATTGGCTGGAAAGAGGGGAGGAATTCCTGGGACCAGGGATAGGATGAGCAACTCCTGCTCTATTTCCACCTGAGACTTGACAGGAATAAAAGGGGTTTTGTTTGTTCTCAGTCTTGGAAGATGAAATCCAACAGCAGCTGGCTGAGAATAGTAGTTTAAAAGCAGTAGGGTTCTTCGAAATAATAAAAGCTACTTCAGGGATGCACTAGGCAGATGTAAATTGTGGGAATGGAATCACAGCACATTTATCACTAAGGTCTCTTGAATGCAGAAATAGAAGAGTGAAATAATGGGGCTAAAACCACTTAAATAATGCCAGTTATTTACAGTTTCTTGCAGCTGATTTAGCAAAATAACCTTCCACTGAGAGGTGCTCCAGTCTGCACAATGCGTGTTCTCATGTAAGGCGCTTGGGTAGCTGTGCTTAGGGACAGAGGTCTAGCTGAGCTTGGTTCCCCATGGGAATACCTTAGTTAAGGCAAAGCAGTTTGTGCAGCCAAGAGCAAACTCAGCATTGAAGTGTCTGCTGCAGCTCTGGTCACCTCTGGATGTTCCTTCCTGAATATGTAGACACCCGTTGGATGAGGCAAATCTTAGTGTGGTTCAATAGCAAGGCTGAAACTTGCACCTCCAGCTTCTGAGATACTGCTGATAAGGAAAAACTTTGAACAGTGATCTCACCTAACAGAAAAAAGACATTACATCTAGCCTACCATAAATCAGGAAGGCAGCAGTGAAAGTAATAAACCAGTTTTAGGGATATGGTGACTTGGAAGAAAAGCAGAGATTGATGTAGGATCGGATAGAGAGGTTTTAATGAGATTAAAAATAACAGGTGGAATCCTGATGCTTCCAAATTAGAGGGAAATTTTTCCATTGCCACTGGTAGAGCGAGCATTTTGACAAGTATATTTTGAAAATAAGCAGCTGTTTTCCTAAGCTTGTCAACCTGAGATTGTGATTTCAGGGTGAAGCGGGGATCTGAATTAATTAAAATGAGAATTTGAAGTTAACTGCATAAAACATTTGCATGGATCCTTCCTCTTCAGAATTAGACCTATTTAATTAAATTAAAGATGATTGCCTTAGGTGCCCTTTAATTCAGGTTGTGTGTGGGTTTAATGCATTTGAACCAATGCACTTGTAGTGAACATGGAATAACTGTCCTGATTGTCACTGTGCAGCCAGTCTTCACATCATAAGTAGTAGGGTGATATTCTGGCAAATGGTGGACATATTCTCTAGATACTACCAGTAAATAAATAGTAGCCAAAACATGTTCATTTACATAATAGTGTATGCTTTAGATGAGGAGTGTGTATATATATATATGCGTATTTCTGTGAGACACAAGAGAATTAGTGTGGGGATGATAATGGTCATGTGGGGTCTTTAGCACAAAACATTTATTTTAAAAGAGCTTAAGAAATAAAATGTGGTTGTGATACTTTGGTGAACTTGTATATTGCTGCCGTCTTCGGCAGCTGCATTAGATTGATTTGTGATTGCAGCTAGAAGGTTTTCAGACTCAAATATGCTGCAGTGATTACAAGCTGCCAGGGCAGAAGGAAGTAGTAGCTTCCCTTTATGTGTTCAGAATGTGCTGTCTAAAATTTAACCTAAAAGAAACACTGACAAATTAGGTATTCTGAAGTAACGGCAGGGGTTTTACAAAACAACATCTGAGCTGTAGTGACACTTCACTGCTCAGCATCCCATTCCCAGAGAGGTATGTGGTGAGGCCAGGGCCGAGATACAGCACATCTGTTAAAGCCACTGCTGAGGTTTCCTAATTGCTGGAAAACGGCTACTAGAAGATTCAGCTATGCTTCCAAATCTTTCTGCCAAGCCTGCTTTCCCAATGAGGTAGCAGGAACCGCTGCACTTCTTTAGCTGACTACGAAAAAATGACGGACACCTGATTCTCAAAGAAGTGGAGCGGTGTTATTGCAAAGTGATGATTTTTATGTGATGTTATCATTTTTAGAGTATCAGTGACCGGTACCTGACATGTTGTTTTTCCTTCACGTGAATCATTTTTGTTATAAAATAGGATTTTTCTGCTAACTGGAAAGTGTATCACTTAACTGTTCAAGAGCCTTGTTCTCCTCCTCGTGACCCTAAAGCACCCTCTTGGATGTCGGTGGGAGGTTTTCATCGCGGTGGGTGTTCTCATTACCACTTGACATTTTGCTTGGGTTTGGGTTTCTGCCTGTTGCTGTTTAATGATCTGAATGCTTTCTTCGCCAGTCCCAGAAGCCCTTTAGCGAGCGACATACTATTAGTGCTACTTCACAGTATCGGCACAGTCACTAGGCAGAGTTCCATTTCCAAACAGTGCTTCCGCGCATCCCCCCTCACCATCTGCTCCGGCCGTGTCCCTTGCTGTCGCCTTTCCCGGTTAACCCTTTGCTCTGGCCTCCTCACTCGGCGGTCTCGGGGAGGGTGGCACAGGCTCTGCACAGGTTTGCCTGAACTACAGACCCCCCCGAGGCTAAAACAGACTGCAGGTCACGTCAACGGCGGCGACGCGGGTGGGGTTTCTGGCTGATGTAATGGGGCGTATATTTGCTTTGTAGGGGCACGGACAGGCACATGGAGCAAGCACAGAAAGCACTGCGCCTTTTCTACCCTTAGCCTGCTGTTTATCACAGGCCCCTCACAACTCCCGTTCGCGTCAGGTCTGGATGTCTCACAGCCTTTACAATCTCCAGTAAGACGGCGGAGGGAAGACACTGTACCTTCTGGGAGAACAAAGACATCGAGACTGAGGATCAGATTCATCTCACTGAACTTAATCTACCAAAAAGACATTTTGTTGATACTAATCATCCGGTTGATATTAATCATCCGTGCTTCCCTCTCTCAAGTGGAGAGATGGGCACATCTCTGAAGGATGACTTTTATGACTCTAATCACTGGGCAACCCTTACTCTTAAGTGGCAGTAAGAGGCCAGACTGAGAAGGATGCTCAGTTCTAGATGAGCTCAGGTGGAGGCTGGACAAGTTCATGGTAGCAAAATTCTTTGTGAGTTACTAAATCCATAGCAATAGCACCTGGCTTGCTGAAAAAAGATGAAGGCTGTGAGTTGTTAAGGGGTAGTATCAGGCATGCTTGCCCTGTTGTGCTCTTACTCTTTCCTAAGCACCTATTTACGGCCACAGTTGAAGCTAACGCACAAGGGAGGTGAACTTTCTGTCTGATACCATATGGCCATTCCTCTGCGCTTTTGTGAGGCCATTTTAGCAGTGAGAAGGGGGGAATATGCATTTAGTAAGAGGCAATTGCTGCAAACGGGAAATGGGCAGTAATGGTTGTTTCCAGATCTGCGGTGAAGTGCTACTGACCTACAAACAGGAGAACTGGAAGTCGATTTGACAGAAAGATCCCATGCCAGGTGCTGAATGCCAGTGCCTTATATCAGGTCACCGCAAGCCTTTTGGAGACTGAGATGACCTGTTTCACCATGCGTGCAGATGGTGCAAACAGCTTGTTTGAGCCTCAGACGGGATGAGGAGATTCAGATCTGACATCATTTGCAGCGTGGCGTGTGGCTGCGCTGCCTCTGTGACCGCGCCGGGTGGACTATCAGGGTGGAAACTTGTCACTTCCAGTAACTCATTGGGAGCACAGAGTATGTGGCCCGAAAACCAGAACAGCGCTCGTGGCCTCCCACTGTCTTGGGCACATGCACATGTGTGTGTACCTCTGTATTTTGGGTGGTTGTTCCAGTGGAAAGATTTTGGAGAATTGACCATCCTAAATGCCGATACCCTTAAAAACAACCTCAAACAACCTCGGATTGATCATTTTGCTGCCAGTATGGTAAATGTATGCCTGTCATTTGCCGTGAAGATCTTGAACTAGTGTCTCCATAGCTGTTAAAGGCAGCATCCCTGCATAAATACACTTTTTGTGTTTGAAGTTGGAATCGCCTTTTATGGGAATCTCTACACAAAAAGAAATCCTGATTAAACTGAGCAATGTTTTCTTTATCAAATCCCAAGACATTAAAAAGGCCGTTGCAGTTGGAGTCAAAACATCGAGCTGGGCTTGTTGTAAAATGGAAGCTTTTGCTTTCTTTAAAACACACTCTGTGTTGAAACTGGCAGCAAAAATCTTTGATGCGAGGGGAATGTATCAGACTTGACTTTTGCAATTTCCTGGTTGGTTTCTTGCTAACTGCTTTTGTCTAATCATATTTGATCTCAAAGATAATTTTATTAAACATGGATTAGGTGATAAGATGTATCCGTTGTGGTCTTTCATAATGCTCTGTTTCATTTTGAATGTGACATATTTTCTAGTACAGATGAAATTTGTTCATGAGTCAGCTTTGAAAGAGAGGCTGTCTTTTATAGTTTTGTAACATGTTATGGGTAGCAAGCAAAAAAAGCTCCTTTATTCTCAAGCTTCTTGAATAGTTCTCTCTAATTTGTAGATTGCAGCCACCACCATGGAGAGGAGAGGTGGCTTATCCTCAAATCCTGTCCTGTTGAGCAGCCTCCATAGCGTGGCTGCACTCAGGCAGGAGGGGAGTAGTTCAGTACCAGAGGGAGAGGTTACTGGGAGAGTCAAAATGTGATGCAAGAGTTGAAGGACAAGGTGTTGAAAGAGACTGATTTACCAGTCCTGTGAGTATTGGCCATGGTAATTTAATGCTGATGGTAACGCAGCGTTCTGTGACGTGGCTGAGCGAAGGCAAGATGGGTTCCTCTGTTATTCACAGGCTGTGGTGACTTCAACTACTGTGCTGTGCTGCTGCTAGTTGTAATAGTACTACTACTAGTGTAACAGCAGGAAGGATTTTTATTTTGTTGTTACTGAGCCAGAGGGTTTAATGTGTAGAAGAAAGCCCCTTGAGAAAGGCAAAGAGTAATAATGAAAAAAACCCAAAAGCATTTACAAGTGGGGTGTAAAACAGGAGACTGTAGTTGGGTCTAAAGGTTGGAAGATGATAGCAGCGGCATGGAAACCACTGGGGGCAGGGAAAGGTTGGTTGGTGTTGCAGCAAGAGTTTTTCTGAAGGAGAACATTTGCAGACGTTTTTCAGCTTTCCTTGGAGCACTGGAGTTCTACCAGGTCTGAAAGGAGAATGTAGGTAGCATACACTGATGTCTAGGTTTTACTCATTGCTCAAGATCAAACCAGTCATCAATGCCATGATGGAGTTTGTCCCTTCTGGTCAGGCTGGCGGAGAGATTTGGACATATGGCTCTGGGTTTTTTTTTCCCCCGTGAAGCTATGGGTTTGGTCTAAGTACCTGCTACAAATCCTCTGCGAGTTTTAGTTACTGAGGTCTGCAAAGACTTGGGGCTTTACGATACCCACTCTGCTCGGCTCTTCCTACAGCACGTAACAGTTGCAGTTCCTGAGGTTGCTGAGCAGATCTTTGGCTTTTTACAGGATATTCAGAAGCATGTGTCCTGAGCATTTATAGATACGTGAAGTAGATACTCTGCAGCTTTTTCTGAAACGATGTCCTCTACTTGCATGAGACTGCACTCAGTGAGCCAGGGGAGACTCACCCAGATCTGTGTTCCCAAACATATTAGGGACAAGCATGGAAGCACAAAGCTTTTGTGTGAACTATTTTTTAGTAGTAGACGGTGTTAGTACTACGGTAGGTATCCTTCTCTTGCCTGAATGAGGAATCTATACATTTGCAGAAGGATGTAATTTTACACCACTATGTAGAGGGTAAAAGAGTTGTTGAACCATGAAGAATATGTGTTGTGATCTAGGATGAAGTTCTTGGAACCTGTATAAGGACAAGGTCAAATAATTCTTTTTTTCTTTAACTTTTCCATATTCCTGCATCGAATAACTGCTGTCTTACTGAGAACTTTTCCTGGTACCACTAAGAAATCCACTCAGAGCACCGAAGAAACTTTGTCCTTCCCAGTAGAAGTCTGGAGTGGGAGAAGTGTTGGAAGTCTGCCGCTTACATCATTGCTATGGTCCCTTTCAAAATCCAATTTTAAGTTTTGCCTTGTATAGATTTATAAATCCTGAATTGTTGCAGTGGTGTGTTTTGCAAGTGAAGTTAGTGCACTGAGTACACTCCACCAGTTCTACAGTAAATTTATATGTTTTTTCATGAACTCTACATAAATCAAGGGTTCACTTCCCAATGATACATAAAAGGAGAACGAATTTTCTGCGTCACATCATCACTGTGCTTGCTGAATGCCTTACAGTGGTATGATACCGTTGCTTGTAGTCACAAAACAATCATGGTGCTCTAAACTTACATTTTGGTATGCGAGTGTTTTGTGGATAGCTGTGTCTCTTCTTTCTAAATGCATAATATTACTTAGGTTGACTCGGAGCCTGCATGCTAGTTCCTGTATATATTCCGTGTAATATACATGTTTTCTGCAGTGATACTGATTCTAACAGATGGAAGAAATACTGTAAAGTGCGTGTCTGTAGTATTCCTGACAGATAAGCACCACATACGTGAAATCTCAGGAATTTTGCAGGTTTGCTAGTGGTTAGGCTTTTTTAATGACTTTGAGACAAAGCAAATACAGATATTGGTCTTCAATCTAATTGTGCTATATCTTTCTTCACAGCTTCCTGTTATGGGAGGAGCCTTTATGGACTCGCCCAACGAGGACTTTAGTACAGAGTACTCCTTGTTTAACTCGTCAGCCAACGTCCATGCAGCTTCCTCCATGCAGAATCCACCAGAAGAGACATCCCGTTCTTCAAATGATGCCATATTGTTATGGATTGCAATAATAGCAACAATTGGAAATATTGTGGTTGTGGGGGTGGTGTATGCCTTCACCTTCTAGGATGACTGTCACTCCAAACACTGGAAAAGAGAGGATAACTGCCACAGTATTTGTCATGTGTACGTGTGTATATATATGTGTATATCTATATAAATACATATAGGTAGGGACGTTGTGGATTAAGTACTGCCACAATCTATGAAATGAAATGCAAGTTAATCATCTTTAATCTTGATGGCAGAAAGTTTGGATGCAGTTGCAAAGTGTATGGAGGCAAGAGCTTTAATTGAGAACAGAGCCAATACCAGTTTTATACAGAAATGTAATAAAAGAGAGACCAACATGGGTATAGTAAATACAAAGAGAAAGTGAGATTTATATAGAAAGTGCTTATTTTCTACTGTTTAGATTTTTCTAGCAGCTTTTCTGGGTTTTGTCAGTTTTTTTGTGCATTTTTTTACTGCTGTATAACGTTGTATGAAATTGTTCTATGTCATGTTTGCTGGACATCTTAGGTTTCCAGATGGAGCAAATGGTCGGCGTCAGCTCAGTTCTGATGAAGTACAAGTTCATCATGTGTGAGTCTTGAGCACGTGCACACACCAGGCTGTGTTCAAAATCATGAGTCTTAAAAGCTGTGACAGGCAGATGTGTGCTATCTAACATTTGCCTTCCAGTATCAGTTACTGGATGTGATAATCTATGAATTGATGCTGAACCTGTCTGCTGTTCGCAGGAGGAGGCACAGCTATTGCAAGGTGTGGCTGGTCCACAGACCCTCTACACTCTGCGTTAAACAGAGCAGCAGCACAAGCTCCCGTTGCTGCCTAGAGGTACTGGATTGCAGTGGTTTGTAGATGTGTCCCTTCCAGGAAACAAAGGACAAATACCATGCTTTTCAGCTCATTTCACTGTAATCCAGATTTCCCAAGGCAGCCATGTACTTTTGTAAGCTTATTGGTGTATCAAGAGAATGTGGGGAAATTGCAAAGCCTAATTAACAATGAATGATGTCTATGAGAAAAACAGAATTGAAAGAAAGATTTTTGTGCTTGCGAGGGAGTGAGTGCAAGAGTCAGGTATGTCCTGGGGTAGAAACAGCACAAAAAATGTAGTAAGTGATAGATACGCAAGGGCTTGTATTTCAGTATTAATATGTCTCTGAGTTCTGATGAGGCTCCTGGAAGGGATTTTTGTATAGCCTGCTCTAGGTAACAACTGTGATTATCATTTGGATTTGTTCTGTTGAGGGACAACATTTTCCCTGCATTGTTCCCATGAGCAGTTCCTTTTCACGAGCTTTATCTTTTCAAAACAAGCTGTAGCCTTCCTTGTTTCAGAGATTATAAAATCTTGAGGGAAGAAAAAAAAATCACCTCTGTTGGCAATCTTCCTCTTCCCCCTTAAAAAACAAACACAAATCTATAAAATGTCTGCACAAATTCTTCCTCTATGTCTGCGTGTACTGTATTGGTTTTCTGTCTCATACAGTTACTACCCTAATTCCAGAAAGCCTTGTCTCCAGGCACAGAGACTATTTTTGACATTTGCCTGCCACTGAGCTTGAGGCTGGACTAAGAGCTTCTGAATGTATAGAGAAGTTTGGATTTTCTTCTTTTCTCTTTAAACCCATTTTTCTGCAGGGCTGGTGGACAGTTACTTGAATCGAAGCAATATGGCCCAAATCAGTATTTATAACTACTCAGTAGTCACTGTGTATATTTTTTTTCTCTCTCTATGAACTGGCCTTTAAAGCTGGGAAAGGTGCAAACAGAGCTGCAGAGGGGAGAAAAACTAAGTTATTTTGAGGATGAGAAAAAAAATGACAACTTGCTTGAGGAACTGAGCTTCTGTGTGTGTAGTTATTTCCCCGTTTCGAGGCAGGATTTTGTGAAGATGGTTGAGGACAGATGAGATCGGTGCCGGGAAAAAGTTTGAGGAGCCTAGTGCTGGAAGCTCAGCTGGACAGAAAGCAAATTCTGTCTAATAAAATAGCTGTAGTCTTAAGAATGATACAAAAATGATTATTTTCACTGTCCTAAAATAGCTATTCGTTCCTTCATAGGTAGAGAATAATAAAAAACAGGGGAGCTGTATAAATTTTGTACCTTCCCTGTTCTTATATTCCTTATTCTTGCTGAGCAGAAAGCAAGCTAAGTGAGGTTGGAAGGCTGCAGAGAAGTTTCCAATACAGAATTGAGCAGGACAAGGTCTAGAGTATGAACACGTAAGACCCATGGAAATATTGCTTGGTGTAATGTACTGTCCCCAGCCATTTCCTGATATTACAATTTGTAATTGTATCAATTACTCGTGGACTTTTCTTCAGTGTTTCTGTAGGCTCTCTAGTTATGCCAGAACTTGGAAGCAGTGGTTCTGCATGAAGCAGCAAAACATTTCCACCATGATTAAACCCATTTTGACAGTACAGTACTTGCCCAATGGGATTATCCTACTGCTTAACGAATTTGCCAGTCTCTTTCCCAAAGCACTGGACTGAATTCTTCACCCATGAACAGTGTTAGAGCAGGGACAGCAAAGAACCACCGCTCTGCTAATGAAACAGAGTGACATTTTTGCGTTGCTTTTCTCAGAGACTAAGTGCCCTACTTTACTTTCATGTGAAATTGATAATAATAGCAGGAGTGTTGGAAAACAATGAGTTCTGCCTCCTTCATCCAGATCATCACATATTTTCATCGTTAGAGGCTGAGTTGTCAAGAAGGGCCAGACAGAACTTTAATTAAAGTAATTGGCTTGACAGGGTGACATGGCAAACTGGGTGCAGGCAGCAAGTGCAGGCATTTCCTGTCTCTTAGTTCAAGATGCTAACTGTGCAGCTTTTCTGTTGAGCAAAAATGGTTTAAGGATGCAGGTGCAAGGATACTGTGTGCAAGAGTCTGTACAGAATATACACCTGACGAGGTGTATTAAAGATCCCAAAATCACAGGTGGGCAGAGCTGGGTCGAACGCTGATCTCCTTTGATAGTGATAACATGCACAGTGTGTTTCTGGATGTTGTGTTCTGGCTTCACCCACTACAACCACTTCCATATTCTGGAAGAATAGGGAAGGTTTAAATTCAACTGCTGGAACAGGGGACTCATCCATCATTAAGTTCAGAGAAGGCAGAGGGCAGTGGAGAAGCAGCTGAAAGGTAGATGTTTCATAGGTATGGTCCTGTGAACTGCGTTACCACTTCTTTATGTGGGCATATGTTGTACCCTGAACTGTCAACGCAGCTTGACTTGGAGCTCTGTAGCTTCTCCTTTCCTTGGAGCCAGGCACTGCTGTCACCCATTGAGGGGTGATGAGGAAGCCCGAACACATTGCCCAGAGCTGTTCTCTGAAGCTCTTCGGTAAATGCAGAAGAGGGCTCCGTGCTTTGCTGAGCACTTCGTGTACCAGCATGAGAGCAGGATTCCACTTACGGAAGATCTAGCACCGAGTTAGTTACAAGATCCTGATTGAAGTTTGCTCTGTAGTAGACAAAGCGAAACGCTTTCTACGTGCAGTGTTAGACCCCTAGCTGTGTTGTAAAGGTAGTTGTACAAACAAACGCAAAAAGCAGGACTGTGCGCTGCAAAGCTATTAATGAGCCACGGGAAGCAGGTAGGCAAGCTGGATGCCCTAACACGTCTCATCTAGCCATGGCCTCTAGAGATCGATAGCAACATATCAAATAATTGAACTGTCTCCTAAGAATTTTTTTGCTCTAAGCAGGCAGCAGCTCGACATGGCCCCTGTGCAGCCACCACAGCAAAGAGCCTGAAAGCTGAACAGTGATGTAGGTGGGTGCAAAGGCACATTAGATGATAGGAGAATGGGGTAGGGAAACCCACATAGCTACTCCTGTTGTATTTTTATCTGCAGGGCTAGAAGTCTGTGCTTGTCCACAATATTAGCATCCTCCTAAACTAAAACGAGGCAGGAGGATGTATTTCTGTGTCAACACACTTGCAAAGCTGAACAACAGATTTTGAAACTGATGCAACAACAGTAGCAGGGAGACTTGTCTGCTACAAATAATGTATTCAGGCATTTGCGTGGGCAAGTGGGCTGATAGATACCTCAGAAGCAATGAAATCCCTCCTCCAAAATCCTTGTTTGCAATGGGACTTGAGGGTGGTCAGCATCCCACCAAACTGCTGAGCAGCCTGTAATAACAAGTGCCAAATCAAGAGCGAATGAAGCGGCCAGCCATTATAGTCTTATCCTGTACATCCATTTGAAGATAAAGGGAAAATGTGCCTTTGTGTCTGTGACCAAACAAAAACCGGAGTCCTTAGTCTATAGGTTGTTTTGTCTATTATTAGAAGTTTCATTTTGCTGTTCTCAGACAATTCCAGTTGTTAATATCCTCTTCACATTTCTCTGCAGGCTGCTGAGTGTTATTAATTTCACATAGCTCTGTCTGTTTATCCGATGTAATTTTGCTGGGTTTCCTGTGGCTAATCACAGAGCAGAATCTGAAAAATTATTCTCTTTAAGGATGATTTCAGTTATTGAGAGAAATAAGCCAAAAATCAGAATCCGAGATCAAAACACTTTTGTACTTTTGGAGCATTCAGCGCTCTAGAGAACTGAATTTCATCTGGTTAATGCACAGAAAGGAAAAGGGCGGTCAGGTCCCTGTGATAGTGTCAGACATCAGGGTTCTGACAGGCAGAGCTGAGTGCTTCATTAACTCCTGCTCTGCCCCTCTGAGCCCTGCTGGCTTCTTAAACTCAGCTCAGGCTGTGTGTCTAAGGGAATTAGCCATCAGCTACAGCATGTCCCTCCTCGTCTTACAGCTTGCTAATCCTCAGGGAAACAAGTGCATTTTTTCCATTGGCAGAATAAGAGCCAGAAATCAATATTCTGCCAGGTATATTGTTATTGGTACATTGGTCCACCACCCAGAAGGTAAAGACAGGAATATTTTAACACGTGGTTAACCCTTTTACCCCTGCTCTGGGAACATCCTAAAGAAATCAAAGCATTCAGAGGCCTTAAAGTCTCCTACTGCCCTTGATCTGACACTAACCTTTTGTGCTTTCTCATACAACTCCTCTTTGCC